TCTGCCCCTCTTCTGAAGGATGATGTCCCTCGGAAACAGTGCTTCCCCTCCCTCTTCCTCTCTTCCCTTCCACCCTCCACTCCCAAGGCTACAAATATCATCTGTTATCCTGAAAACTCTCTGTGCATATCTCCATTTGTGACCTCACCTTGGAGTACCAGATTCATGTCCCCTGGCCCATGATGTCTTCATTCAGATATGTCAAAGTTAATATTTGCCCAATAGAGCTCACAATTCCACCATCCATCTCCTACAATTTGTTCTTCCCCAAATATCTCCCTTCCCATGTTTATTCACCCAGTTGTTAAAAGATCTTAACAGATCTTAAAAGATAACCTTGATATTTTTTTTCCTCTCCTCTCCTCCTAAAGCTTCTATATTAAATCTATCAGCAAGACTCAGGAATTCTGGGTTTAAAACACGGCTGGAATTCACCTACTCCTCTTCTACTATAGCAAACCAAGCCCGCATTGATTACCTTTTGTCTGGATTATGGGATAGCTTTCAAACTGGATTCCTCATTTTCATTCCCTCCCTCACTTTTATTAACCACACAATAGCCAAAGTGATCTTTGCAAAATGTAAATGGCATCACGTCACCTTCTCCCTACCCCACACACTTTTAAGCTGCTTCACGGATTCTCAGTTACATTCTGGATAAAAGCCGTACCTTTTATCACAGACTCTGTCTCAGTCAGCTCTCCAATACTATAACAAATACCTGAAGTAAACAAACTTACAAAGAAAAAAGGTTTATTTTGGCTCATAGTTTTGGAGGTTTTGGTCCATGGATAAGTTGGTCTGTGTTGAGGCAGCATATCATGGTGGCAGCATGTGACAAAATGTTCACCTTGTAGCTAGTATGCAAAAAAGAAAAAGGAAAAGATCTGCATCTCATATTCCCCTTCAAGGACACCCCCTTCCAATGACCTAAAACCTCCCACTAGGCTCCACCTCTTAAAGTTTCCACTACTTCCCAGGAGCACTAAAGGCCAGGGACCAAACCTCTAAGAGCTCATGGGCCTTGTGGGGCTGCATTCATTCAAGCCATACAAGACTCCAAGGCTAACATGATCTTGGCTGTGTCTGGCTCCCTGACCACATCTCATGCCACATCCCCCCTCGAGGACAGAAGCAGGAGATTAGGGGGTGTATTCCAGAGGATACCTCTAAAGAGCTTACAGTCTAGTTGGGAGCACAGATCCGATTGGGAGAAAGCATGTCAACAGCCATACTCAATAGCAGCTGTTTAGGTGCAAACCCACGTGATACAGGAGGAAAGGCATGCGGGAGTGGAGGGACTGTGGTAGGACAGCTGGAATGGAAGGGACCACAGCTGTTGGGTCCATCAATACCACTGAACAAATGACTGACATAATACACCAATAAATGACAAGATTCCTGTCCTCCGAATCTCACAGCCTGGTGGGCGATGATAAGAAGGAAACAAATGGTTGGTCATAGGACATGTGATGGCAGAGTCACATTCTAAGTACTCTGAAGGTAAGTGGGCAGGAATGGTCAGCTCTGCTTAGAGAAGAGTCAAGAGAGACTTCAGACAAGGAGGGGACATGTTGCTGGGATTTAAAGGAAAATTAGGAGTAGGCAGGGGACAGACACAGCAGGTTGAAGATCCTATAGCACTGGTGAACCAAGGGTGGCCTAGGCGTAAGATTGAATGTTAAATGTCATAGCCACAGGGCTTTGTGAGGGGAGGGGTCGAGGTGGCTGGTTGGCACACAGTAGGTTGTGACAGATGTTAATAGAAGGATGCTCACTGGGTTACTAAAGGCAATTTAAGACAGAAACCAGTCACAACTGGGCCTTGAAAGGTGAAATTGTGGTCTAAATGAAAGGCAGTAAGCTAATAAGGGTCATAATTAATATTGATGAGAAGATAGTCACTGATGACGAAACCACTGAGGAGGGGCAGAAGCCAGGTTGCCTAGGAGGTGTGTCGGACCCTCCAGCAGGCCACTCTGTCTGAGCCTGCCATATTCCAGGGAGGGCAGGGGAAGGACTTCGAGACCCACAGCTTGTGGGGAGGAACCTGCCTGCCGTCCCCTGCCCTGGCTGCTGCTGGAACTGCCCCCTGGTGGAGAGCTGGCCTTGGAGCAGGGACTTCTGCCAGTCAAAGGTGAGCCCAGGATGCTGATCCCCAGGAACATGGCTTTGCCCTGTTCTGCACAGGTGAACGCCTGGGTCTCTACCATTTGCTCCACCTTGCTTCCTCCCATCCCAGATCTTTCGAGGACAAGGCCACTGGGATTCCTGGACCATTCCTGAATTCTGCAGGCCTGAGAATTCAAATGGAGCGAGCATCTGCCTGGAAAATGTTTACCTGTGTGGAACTGGTGATTGGCAATTCCTTGAGGTGTACTGATAGAGTGAAGCAACGCAGTCTGGGGGGATGAGGGAGGGACAGGACAGCTTTCTCTGCTTTAGAACCTGTGAATGATCTTCACGCCTCTCTCTTCTTTTCACCATGAACCCCTTTACGCCATTCTGCTTACTGTCCACCTGCCTCATTTTAGTGGTCATTAGCCTGACAGTGAAGGTCTAAAGCAACATGAGTCAATAATAATAGCTAACCTTCCTCTGAGCCAGCTTTTGTTCTAAGCTCTTTATGTTAATTAGCTCATTTAAACCTCTCAGAAAATTCTGAAGTAGATACTTTTCTTACTCCCGTTCTATTTGCATGAAGACAGGCTCAGAGGGGTGGAGCCATTTGCTCAAGGCCACTTAGACCCGATTTACAGAGCCAGGCGTTGAGCTGGGCAGTGTGGTTCCTGAAATTATCCTTCCTAGGCATGGTGGTTGGAGAACTCTGAGAATCAGGAAGCCAGCCCAGAGTGGTGGCCCACGCCTGTAATCCCAGTGGCTCAGCTCAGGAGGCTGAGGCAGGAGGACTGTGAATTCAAAACCAGCCTCAGCAATTTACCAAGGCCCCAAGCAACTCAGCGAGACTCTGTCTCAAAATAAAATATAAAAAGGGGTGGGGAGATGGCTCAGTGGTGAAGGGCCCCTGGGTTCAATCCCTGGTATAGAAAACAAAACAAAACAAAACAAAAAAACCCCAAACCAGACCAAACCCAGGAATCCAGTGAAAAATATGGCCAAGAGCCACTTGGTGCTAGGTTCTGAGAGCCCCTAGTTTTGGTGGAAGAATATTCTAAGTCTTCCATATGGGTGGAGCATACAGGGAAAACACCTTACATTTTCATAGCCTTGGTTTTCTCATCTGTATGCTGTGAAAATAATCATTAATCCACAGCACTATTGAGAGGAATAAATGAAAAAGCCCATGCAAAGTGCCTGACTCATAGTAGGTGCCTCCCAAATATGGATTTCTTCTCCCTCCCTCCCTCCTAGGTCAACTCGGCTTCAGGGGAGGCTCAGTCATTCTTTCCATGAGCATTTACCTAAGGAAGGCTTACCCATTGTGGAACCTTTCGCTGTTTCCTGGGAATTAAGATAGAGACTGTAGCCATGTGAAGTGGAGGGGGGGGGGGGGGGATGACCTGGAGTGACAGAAATGGATCAACTAATCCAAGAGAGCACAGTGACAAATTAATGAATGTTCTTTTTAAAGCAATAGCCCCAGGAGAGTGCACCGAATGGTTGTTCCGGAGAGGTTCATGCTCCAGAGACTCAACAGCCCTTGGGTGCCCCTCCTAGGCCTGGGGCTTCCCTCCTGTCAGGGGGCGCTGGAGTAAGAGCCCAGCTTTTAGGAAAATAGAGTCTCAGAGAAAGAATGACCTGCCAAAGTCACACAGCTCCTCAGGGCACAAGTAGAACCAGAAGCGGGGCTTTCCCTTTCTTTTTTCCTTTCCTCCCTCTCCTCTCCTTCCCTCTCTTTCCCTTGCTTCCTCCCTCCCTTCCTCCTTTTCTGGTGCTGGGGGTGAACCCAGAGCCTAGGGCACGCCAGGCAAGCACTCTACCACTGAGGAGCGCCCCAGCCCCAGGCCTTTCATTTCCGGTCTGGAGGTCTTTCCAACCCAGGGAAGGTCTCCATTTCTTCTGTTATCCTCACAGCTGCATTGGAGAGGAATAATTCGGCTCTAATTTGGAGCCACAGTTTATTCAAAAGTTTGGCTGAAAATAGTTTGGGAGTATTTTTTTTTAAAATAACTACCCCCCACCCAATATCACCACCACAGGAGGAGGAAGCTAGGAATATTCGAGGGAACTTGTCCATGGAGATAGGCAGGGCTGGTGGCAAGGCTCCCAGTAGGAACTGAGGGCACCAAACTTGAATGCTATATCATCACCAAGTGCTGGTTCAAATATTTGCATTTGCAAGTTAACTTTATACACAGGACAAATGCCAGACACTTTCGATGGAAGATAAGGTATAAAGCTAACAGATTTCTGTACTGGGGGCTTTGAGCTTTGCAAAGTATCCTTTGGAGAATTGGTGGGGATGCAGCGCTGAGGCCTGCTTGAAGTTTGGATGGAGTCTTCGGTCTGAAAGACTGTCCAGGGACAAGATTCATTCAGTTCTAAAGTAACTCCAGGGGCTTTCAGACGGCCCTTTCCTGCAGGGTCCGGGGGCCAGGACTTTTCCCATGGAGGTCAGATCCTGTTTTGGCAGGGCAATGGATTAGGTGACCCCCACCTCCAAAGGATTTTATAGGCTTTGGGATTCTGAGTGACTGCGCGGCCATGTGGGGGTGCCTGTGTGCGCCCCGCGACAGCGCGAGTGGGTGTTTGTGCTCCCTGGTCGGTGGGAGGCGCGTGAGTGTGGCCGCCGGTGGGTGTGTCTGTGGCGCCCCAGCTGGGGGCTGCGCCCGTTGCGCCCACTTGTGGCTCCCGGGCGCCGCCAGGAGGAACCCAGCCTTTGCCGCTTCTACCGAGGACGCTACGGGATAGGAGGAGGACTGGAGGCTGATGACATGAGGGCGCCGTCTCCCGAGTGATGGCAGCGCGTGCTGCCTCGCCGCCTCCGCCGCTCAGCCCCGGACTCCTTACGTCAGGGTAGCTGGGTCCCCCCTCCTCGCGGGAGCCAGCGAGCAGCGGGAGAGCAGAGCAGAGCGCGCCGCGGAGCCGGGGCGCCCTCACCGCGTGCGGAGCCCAGCCCAGCCTAACCCGCAAGAAGAAGAGCCGCGGATTCGTCGCCGGACGCCACTCGCGGATCCAGCACTCCCCGGCCTCTGCCGCCCGGACCCGTGGGGCGCCGGGCTCTTTCTGTGCGCCCCCCGCCATGCGCGCCGGGCTCCGTGGGTCTCCTGAGCAGCCCCAGTGCGGTGGGCACGGGAGCCCAGGCCGGGGCACCTCTTCCTGAAGTAGTTGGGTGGCCGGTTCAGGGGGTCGCCACGTCGGGGGCGCGGCCCGGACCCGCGGAGTTGGCCCCCGAGCTCGGGGAGCGGGGCCACCCGCGCCGCCCCACCATTACCTCCCCGGGAGGCAAGGAGGAGCTGGTGGCGGTTGCCTCCCGGCTGTGGCAGCGGCGGCGGCGCGCCTGCCTGGCGGCCGTCGGCGTACTCTTGGCCATGGCGCTTGGGCTGCTCATCGCCGTACCGCTGCTGCTGCAGGCGGCGCCCCCCGGAGCAGCGCACTACGAGATGATGGGCACCTGCCGCATGATCTGCGACCCATACACCGCCGCACCCGGCGGGGGACCCGCGGGCGCCAAGGCGCCGCCGCCGGGACCCAGCACCGCCGCCCTGGAAGTCATGCAGGACCTCAGCGCCAACCCTCCACCTCCCTTTATCCAGGGACCCAAGGGTGACCCGGGGCGACCCGGCAAGCCAGGGCCGCGGGGTCCCCCTGGAGAGCCGGGTCCACCGGGACCCAGGGGTCCCCCGGGAGAGAAGGGCGACTCGGGACGACCAGGGCTGCCCGGGCTGCAGCTGACCACCGGAGCGGCCGGCGGCGTCGGAGTGGTAGGCGGCGGAGCCGGGGGCGGCGGCGACTCGGAGGGAGAAGTGACCAGCGCGCTGAGCGCCGCCTTCAGCGGTCCCAAGATCGCCTTCTACGTGGGACTCAAGAGCCCCCATGAGGGTTACGAGGTGCTCAAGTTCGACGACGTGGTCACCAATCTCGGCAATCACTACGACCCCACCACAGGCAAGTTCAGCTGCCAGGTTCGTGGCATCTACTTCTTCACCTACCACATCCTCATGCGAGGCGGCGACGGCACCAGCATGTGGGCGGACCTCTGCAAGAACGGGCAGGTCAGTAATTGCCACCCGTGTTGGGCCCCACACAGACCCTCGCCCGTGTCCCGAACTGCCCAGGAAACCAGTCCCTTTCTCCCTATTTGCGAGCGCTGGAGTAAGCCCTGGGAAGGAGTGCGCTGCTGGGCCACTGCGTCCCTTTCCCCAACATTTTGGGTCAGCACTTACGCCAACGTAGCGCTAGAGGTTGGGCCTGGAGCGCGGAGACCCTAGTACCCAGTCTGCATTTTCCCAGATACTTGCGTCCCGGCCTGCAGCCGCACCGGCTCTTCGGAAAACTGTTTTCTTTAGCTCAGGTTGCACGTAAACCGCCTCTTGCCCTCCAGCTTCCTTTCCTCTTGTCCCTAGCCCTTGGTTCCTACCCTTTCACACGAGGTCAATGTTTACGAAGTCCCCTCTCGCCCTCCTTCCGGGACTTGCCAGAGGGGAGGAGGGGACCGGGCAGGAGTCGCTAAATTGGAGAGAGCAGGAAGCTGGGGTGGGACTGTGGACGCAGAAGACCTGGCAGGGGGCGCGCACGGTGGGGGCGGGGCAAGGGCTTAGGAAGAGGTGCTCGGGTTCATCGCTCCCACGGTTTTCCTTCAGGTTCGGGCCAGCGCCATCGCGCAGGACGCGGACCAGAACTACGACTATGCCAGTAACAGCGTGGTGCTGCACCTCGATTCAGGGGACGAGGTGTACGTGAAGCTGGACGGCGGGAAGGCACACGGAGGCAATAACAACAAGTACAGCACGTTCTCGGGCTTTCTTCTGTACCCGGATTAGGGGCGCAGAGGGCGCGAGGTGGGGTAGCTTCAAGCCGCCCTGTCTCCACCCCAGCGCGCGGCTCTTAGGTGAGGGCCACTTTCCGCTTCATGACACTTCCTGACATCTCCGTTGGAAAAGACACACCCCTGCTGTCCTCTTTGCCCCGCTCCCAGTCTCAGTGTGGCTGCAACTTACCACCATGCTGCAGGCGGTGCCCCTGGTTCCAGTGCCCAACCCGGGGAGGGAGAGGGGGACGCCCAAGCGGCGAGCTGAACGTGAACCCGAGCCCTCGCGGCAGTTGCGCTCAGACTTTGCAAATGTGATTGGACTGGACAGGCCGCGCCAGAGCCTGCCCTCTTTCAGACCCCCTCTTCCTCCTCCCAGTACCCCCAGGCCAAGGGCTCTAGGCCCAGGCCAGGGAGATTGGCCAAAGTGAGCACCGGCTTCCTGGGGCCTCCTTCTTTGTGACCCGAAATACTCGTGCAGATTTTCCTGTCCATCCACAGCAGAATTTCAGCAAAGGAAAATTCACCTTTCCACACCGCACTCACTTCCTACTCAGACCCACTGCGATGCATTAAATTATGTTTTTAGACTATGGGCTCCCGTTGTCTTTGTCCTCACGACGGCCCCTTTACTGGAGTTCCAAACCTCCGCTTCCATTGAAAGGTTGAACTGGGGCCCCAGTAGCCCGGGCTATGCCTGCTTTCCATCACTGCCCAGTCCTTCCCATCTGGGATGGATGAGAAGATATGGGGAGACCCGGGCCTGTCATCTTTTCCCTGAGGTTCTCCACTGCAGTCCTGAACTGGCCTGACCCAGGAGGGGCAGGAAAGTAGTGACTGGCCTCCAGTCTCTGGTAATCTGCCTTCCTGGAGTGGCTGGGGTGAGGCCAAAGGGGCGGGGCTTCTAGGGAAGGAAGCCAGAGGGGTGTTCTGCAGAACTGGGAGGCAAGTGAGGCATTTGCTGGTGTGGGATCTGTGGGTTAGGGGCTCCGAAGTGGGAAGTGCAAAAACCCCAAGCAGAGCCCCCCACTGTGCCTTCAGCTTCCTGGGCATAGTACCTGCCCTGACATAGGTCTACATCTCTCAAAAGAAGTGGCAAATTGAGGCAATTCATGGATCATCCACCTCCCTGAATTCAACCAGGATTGGTAAGTGAGATAGTGGTAAGTGAGATAGACACAACCTCTGAGAGGAACAGCCCTTTTCTGAGGTGCTCCCTTCCTGTTTGTGGGGTGAGGTGCTCTGGAGTGGGGTTATCTATTAGTCTCTCTTCCCCTCAGCATTTCACACTCACAAGTTAGGAGAACACCTCACCTACTTTCCTTTTTTTTTCCCCCTCTTTACTTTTTTGTTTTTGTTCTTGGAATACCGAGTTCCAACAAACAGTAAGTTGTCTACAAAATTACTGGTTAACCTCCCCTAGTACTTACAGAGCTCATTTTGGCTAGTTTGAAAAGAAATGTGTGTGTGTGTGTGTGTGTGTGTGTGTGTGTGTGTGTGTGTCCCTGAGGGTGTGTATCTATATAAGCTGGATTCACACACATCTCCAATGCGGATATTATGTTGTCCACACATAATTCAGGTTACATATGTGCACATGCATGTATGTATAGGCCCATAATGAGGGTCTATGTCAGTATGGTGTGTGACAATGTTCTTGACTGCATGTCTGCCCCCAAATAGCATTGTGTTGAACTTCAGTTCCTGAAGCTGAAAAGCTGTGATTCCCATTTAAAAGACTATTATACCCCCTGCCTCGAGTCCTGTAGCTGTTGCTGTTCCTCTTTTATGCTCTTATTTTATTTGAATAATGTTTTATTGTCATTCACTTGAATATGAGCAATGATTATGTCCGCTTTGAGTACAGGGATAAAGTGCTCAAAGAGAGGTAGGGAAAAAAATATATATATATATATACAATTTACCATCCCCCAGCTTCGGATTCAAACAGAACCCTAATTCCCAGCCCCCATTCTACCCCCACTGAATGTGGACACCAAGCCCAGCTGAGCCCACCTGCTTCCAGGAACTAAGGAGGGCGGAATCAGCTCATCTACAGTTGCATACGTATCGCTTTCTGATGCCTTGTTGATTGTATCATCCAGAAATGCGATTAAAACCAAATGTCTGAGACCCAAATGAAGTCTAATTGCTATGGATCTGCAATCCCCAGCGGGCCCCTAATCCTTTTTGACTTATTCCTCCCCTTCCTCAGATGAGATGGAGCTTAGACACAAAGCCCTCGGTTTAAATTTCAAAAATTAAAATTGACATGCAGCGGTGGCTTTCCTGGGAGCGGGAGGAATTTCTAAGGAGGTGCCGGAGCCCAGCTTGATCCTCTGCATTAAGAAGCAATTTGTACTTCTAACAAAACCCCTGCCACTCCCCTTTGGCGGAAGGGCAGTGGAGACGCCTTGCCCAGGTCTGGCTGTTCACGATACTTAGACAAATTTGAATCTGAGATTCCTCCATCTGTATTCCCTGGTGCAGCCAGCCTTCTTGCAATTCTAATGCCCAGGCTGCCGGGAGGTGCTGCCAGAGGTGTCAGCTGCTAAGAGGATGATAGATTGATGAGGCAGCGGGCGGGAGCCCTGCCAGGCAGGAGCAAGCCTGCTCAGGGGCAATCTCTCTGCATCTGCACTCGCTCCAGGTCCCAGGCAGGTCCCTTGTGGACCACCAAGGTCCATACCCCATGATGTCTCTGGAGGATTCCCTGAGAAGGAGAAGGTTGGGCTGGGGACACCATTCCTTCCACCACTGCCACCCCAGTGGAGTCATCAGTCTTGGGGGTGCATGTGGAATACAAGAAACCCTGCGTCCCAGATACTACCCTCTTCTTTGGTTGATAGGGAATTATTATCAGTTGTAATTAGAAATGATTGCTTTAGTGTCTTAATCGCTTTTGGGGTACCTTTTTTAGTTATCTTCCTAGGTTGGGATTAGCATCCTGGCTTTGCCTAGCAAAAAGGAAATACGTTGTTCTATCCCACTGACAGCTGGTACAGTTGAGGCTCAGAGGGGTTCATGACTTGGTCAAGTTACAAAGCTTATAAGAGGTTGAGCAGGGACTTGAACACTGAGCTCTACGACCCTGTCCTGCCTGACTACACAGATGGGGCACATCCACATCCCAGAGTTCTGAGGCCTTTGAAAGGAGAACAGACAGAGAGCAGACATGTCACCCCTTGCTGTGATGTAAGAAGGGCCAGATGAGAAAATCAGCTCTGCTTCTTCACCCCGGTTGCCAGCAGACACGGGCTCCCACTCCTGAGGACTTCCTTGAACACCCAGGCTGTGGGGTCAGTGGGTGGCCCAGGGGAACCTTTAGTGCCAAATGCTCCAAGTGGACCTGTGGAGACAGGTCCAGCAACTTCTCACTGGCCACTATCTCCTGTGACAGATCTCCCTTTCTTTCTTAGGGAGAGGGGGCATCCTGCAGGTGGGGAGAGTTTAGCTGAAGTGGACATCAGCTGTCTCTGATGGTGGGCGGGTCTTTTCCTACGCCCAGATGCAGCACCTATGTGCCTATTTTCAGGGAGGCCTGTGCATGAAGCACACACCTGGACCCCAGAAATTAGGATAGAGATTAGACCTTTTGCTCTTTTTCTTTCCTATCTACATGAGCAGATGGATGGCTGTCTTGGGCACCCAAGACAAAACTCCAGGCCCCCTCTGCACGGGGCTACGATCCCACCCCAGAGGACACACTGCCCAGCCTAGTTGCTTCAGACTTCTCTGATCCTGTCGTTTTATTGGTTAAACATTATTTGAGCACTCACCTCCAATATGTATATTTGACTGATGAATAATTTACGTAGGCCATTGCCAATCTATACTTTAAAAAAACTTTCCATCTTTCTGTATTTATATTTGTCCCAGGACCCCTACATTCAAGTCGGTGTCTCTATTCCAGCTGGCTAACCCATTCTGGAAACAGCGACCCTTCATCAGAGCAACAACAACAATAACAAAAAAGAGGGTTAATTCAAGTCTTTCCCTCCAACTTGCCATTTTTCCAGAATTGCCGGCATCAACATCTGCCCTTTTATGAGGCATGGGCAGCCCTGCACACTTGGACTCCTGCAGGACCTACCTTCAGTCTAGGTTTTCAGTTTTAGCAATGCCTGGTTTCTCTCTTTAGATTAAAAAGAAATGAAGTGTCAATATTTCTTTTTGACACGGGGTTTTTTGGAGATCCAGGTGTTGGGGCTCTGTTGGGGCCCCTCCGAATAGCCGGCAAATGGAAATGAGGAACTTCTCAGGAATGTTTTGGTCTCCGGTGGGGTTACTGTCATATTCTAATTCCTTTCAACCGAGGAGAGCACGCCCCTGAAGGATGGTGGATAGCACAGGGCAGACCCTGCGTCCACGTGGATCACCACCGAATGCCCCTCGCCCCCATCAATTAGAATGGTGCAAGGCACACAGTAGGTGCTTAATAAATATTTATGGAATGGACAGACAAATGGATGGATGGATGGGTGGGGGTATCCTTGGAGGGAGTCCCAAGAAGATAAATCTTGGAAAGCTTTTCAGGGGCCAAAGGGGGTCTCCCAGCAAGCTGAATCACTGCTGTTAACCAAGTGCCTTCCCTCCCACCCCCAGCCCTGAACGTGTAAGGTGTGGGAGAATGAGGAGGACCATTTGCAAAGGAGCCTTTATTACAGCCTTTGAGGTCCTGGTCACAGCTCTAGAAATTTCCAGAACTTTCCAGTTGACATACACTTATGCCACTCCCACACTGCAGCTCTGGGCTGATGGAAGCCGGCCCCCCCAGGGGGGCCTTCTGCACCCGTAGGCCGGCTTCATTTCCAGTGGGGTCCCCTGGTTGATGCTTTGGCTGTCAGGATTCTTTTATCTTCTTCAAATGGAAAACATCTTTTGAGAAATCGTTGACATAATATGCACTTACAAAAAGATGTAAACAACACAGAGAAATATAAAACAGAAAGTAAAAATTCCCCCTCCCTCTCTGCCATTTTCTTCCCCAGAGATAATTTCTGTAATAGCGTGGCTTGCATTCTTCCCGACATTTCAAATGCACATCTGCGTGGATTCCTATGTGGCGATTTGGAGATTCATACCTGCTCTCCTCTCCTCCCTTATGATCTCTCTGCAGCAGCTCTTAGGGGCCCTGTGGGCTGAGCCCCCTTCTTTATCCATTGGTACCATTGAAGATGGCCTTAATTGCCTGGCATGGTGGCACATGCTTGTAATCCCAGTGACTCTGGAAGTTGAGGCAAGAGGATTGCAAATTTGAGGCCAACCTGGATGACTTTAGTGAGTCCTGGTCTTAATAAAATAAAAAGAACTGGGGATATAGTTACATGGTAAAGTGCTCTTGGTTGCTGGTTGTAATTTTCAGTAGTAAATAAATTAGCAAATACATAATTAAGTAAAGGTGGAGATAGCTTTAATTGGTTAAACAATTCTCGCACCACCAGACCTGTTACCTATTTCCAACATTCCCTGATCTAGCAAAGGAAGAATCTTTCTTTGCTAACAGGATTCTTCTTTTAATTTCTTAGTTTGTTCTTTTTAGATATACATGACAGTAGATTGTATTTTGGTTTATGCATCCACGGAGTTAACT